TCCTGTGCTATGAACTCTACATAATATTTGAAATACAGTGTCATTTATGAGAGTACTGTATTTGTATGTAATAGTACTGTAATTTACATCTGTGTAATATTCTTATCAATATTATTATGTTGTTCTAAGTTACTTAAACACATTTAAGTGCATTAATAGCAAGCAAATGTTTTAACAAATCTAAACAAAATTAATTTGCATTCAAATAGCCTACATTTGGTTTCTATTATAGGCTACACTGCACTGTAAATATGACTTTTAGTTAGGTGAATGAGTCATGAATGAGTCTAACCATAGTCTTTGGACTAACTACACAACAAATTAGAACAATTTGAACTTGAACAGAAATGGAAAGCTTGAAATAATACGTAGTGTCTATTTTGTTTAATGCGCATGCGCCAAAATACTACATCATGACGGCGCACTACTTCACCAGAGTTTGAAAAATGCGCGATATCTGTGGCAATTGATCTAACTGGCAAATTTTCAAGAGCATCTGGGGTATACTCAAATTTGACTAAATGTGAGCTTATGGCCATAAAGGAATGTCTCAAAACTGTTCCCTTAAAGAATGAGGTTCAATATCTTGGAATATTGATAACCAAAGACCAGAAAAGAAGGTGCTTGCTAAATTTTAGTCCTATTATTGAAAAAACTAAAAAAAAGTTAAATCATTGTAATTAAAACTCTACCCCTTAAGGAGAGGTCTCTTATTAGCCAAAGGCAGAGGGTATTTCTAGACTTATTTATGCAGCAATGGCTTTACATCTTGATAAAAAACTATGTAAAGAAATTGACAAAATATTGATTGACCATTTGGAAAAATAAAATACATTACATAAAGAAGACAGTTATTATGAATTCATATGAAAATGGTGGCTTAAATGTTTTGGACTTTGCTACATTAAATAATACATGTAAGGTTAATTGGCTTAAACAAATTGTTACAAATCCTAATTCCATTTGGTGTTTTATTCCCCCCCATATTCTATCAAAATGTGGTGGTATACATTTTTTCTTAGCTGTAATATTTCAGCTGCATCAGCAAAAAGCGTTTTTGTGTATTTGTTTTAGAGATTGTTTTGTCAATAAATGTACAGGGTTTTCCATTTTGTGTTTGCATTGATTGTAACTAGGTAATTAGGAGATTTTTTTTTTAAATTAATAAATTTCAAATTCATTGCCAGAGATATATGTCATTGAAGTATATTTTAGTTCACATTAATTGCTTATTCAGAAGTACATATTTACCATATTTCAAAGTACATATCAAATATACTAAAGTCCCACAAAATATCACTCAAAAGTTCAACTAATTGCAATTAATGTAATTTTAAACTGTAATATATTTGAAATCAAGTACAAATAATATGCATTTATGTGGTCTAAAACATTACATTTAATTCACACTTAAGTGTATCGTTAACTGACATTAAAGTATGTTTTAGTTAACATTAATTGCCTGTCAGTACATTAGTAGTACACTTTAACCATATTTTAAGACACTAGAAGCAACTATGAACATATAATTGTACATATAAAGATGTACTAAAAAGTCCCACTTAAGTCCCACTTAAGTGGTTCATAAAGATAACTCAAAAGTTCAACTTATTGCATTTAATATAACTTTAAAATGTGATACATTTGAAATGAATTACAAATACAATGTATTTAAGCGGCAAAAATAAAACATTTAATTTGCACTTATGTATGTTCTTTTAAAGTATATTATTTCCGCAATAAGTACACTTTATAAAAGTATACTTAAATGCACTTCTTTTTCACAAGGGTGTTCATATTCCTGGAGATCTGAAGATTCTTACTCTCTGTGAGGTCGAAGTCTATGGGGATTTGATAGGTAAGTCATTGCTGTAGAGCACTTTTCAAAATGTAAAATGTCATATTTTTTAATTAAGGTGAAGCGTTAAGGATGAAGTGCAGTCAGTGAGGAGTAAGCCATTGCACAACTTGTGCTTTTCCTGGGTTTATCGGAGTAAGTTGTGGAAGCCCATTTCCACCACTGAATAAAAAAAATATATATTATTGCCACTTTTTCTGTGAAAAAAATCTGAATTGTGAGATATAAACTCGCAATTGCAAGATATAAAGTCAGAATTGCATCAAATAAACTGGAAATAGTGAGTTATAAAGTCAGAATTGCGAGATAAAAACTCGAAAAAAAGTTTTTCCGCATGCACTTGCACTCTCAGACACCTGCGCTTCCACAAGTGACATCACTTGCAATTTTTATTTATTTATTTTATTGAATCTCTCAACATTTTACAACAGTTGCCAGGTGGTAAAGATAAGAAAAAAGAAACAAAATTACATTGTCACTTGCAATCGCCACCTGCACTCTCCGCTTGTCACGTGTATGTTCCGGTCTAATCCAGCTAATAGGGAACGTCTCAGGTTACTTATGTAACCATGGTTCCCTGAGTAGGGAACGAGACACTGCATCCTCTAGGGGTCGCTATGGGGAATGCCTCGTCGTGACCCGTGTCTGAAGCATACATTGAAAAAACAACAACTCGTTGGCCGGCGACAGCCATGACGTCACTACCGGTGCGACTATAGTAGCACAAAGTTGTTGCGCGTAGCTCTTACCGTACAGGATTTTAGAAAAGTGGGCAAAGCATAACGTGCACACTTACCAGCTATGTGGATTTTAGAAAGTGGGCAAAGCATAACGTGCACAAACTTGAATACCATTCTAGGGATTCTCGTGGCATAATAATTTACTTAGCTGTGGGAGCAACACACCTAGTTCTCAGTCAAGAAGGGGGCTCGACCTACAGCATGTTCCAATGCTGGAATGGCTAGCAGTAGTTTACCTTGGCTGAGGGAGCAC